CCGCCCGCCGGCCGGCCGGCCCCGGCGGCGAACTCCCGCCTCCGCTTTAAACTCACCAGAAAAAAAACGCTGCACCTCGTCCGCCGAGCAAGACCAGGGCAAGCCCCGGACCTTCACCACGAATCCCTCTCCGCCTTCGGTGCCCAACATCATCGTCTCCTCGTGGGTCCTGGCGTCGACACAGACTGCAGGCGGGGGACGAGCGTCAGACCGGGAAAATGATCACATTAAACTGCCCTCCGGGCTCGTGGCGGCCGCCGGCCTGCGGGGCCCGAGGAAGAGCCGAGCCCGTGCGGACGCCCGAACCCCAGCGATTCCAACACTCGACACTCCTTCGGCCTGCGCCCAGGCCCCCGCAGCCGCTCTGGACACCAGGTGCCACTGCCCCAAGCCGAGGGGGCCCTGGCCTAGCGCCAGCGTGGAGGCAAGGAAATGGCGGCGGCCGCTTCCGCTCCGCCTCCTCCGACATCTCACACAATAGAGTCGGCGCGGCCTGCAGGCCTCGGCGGCCCCGCCGCCACTCGGCGAGCTCTTGCTGGCTCCACGCGGCAGCCCGCACCTTGCCAGGGGCCCCCAGGCTCTACAGAGGTCTCGGGGCAAGCAATCCTCCCAAAAATAGCATCCTCGGGGGCCGCTGGGCGCCAAACACAGAGCCACAAACACTCACCTGAACGCACGACTTCGGCGTGGCTGAGAAGAAATGGCCAGCAGGCGCCTGCGCAACCTAAATAAGGCCCTTTGAACAAGCTCTGCGCACGCGCAGCTAGGTGCCCGCACCGCCCCCTTGCGTCACACAGAGCTCAGACGCATGCGTAATTTCATGAGCCGGCCCCCACTCTAGCCAGCGCACTATTATGCGCATGCGTTTGGGGCTCATCCCCCTCCCACCTCTATAAACCCGCTGGGCTTTTTTGCGCCTGCGCCATCCCGCGATTATTGAACTTGGTTTACGATTTAGTTTCACGCGCATGCGTCTTCCTTCAAACCGTTCCGTCGCCTTACCCGCCAGAGTGGGGGAGGGGAATGGCGGCAATCAATTCCCCGTAGGGACCGTATGTAAGGCAGTCCCGCGCTCTGGGTTGTGAGGTGGGTGGTGAGGTGGCCGTGTTCCTACCCCTTCCCTAGCCTGTTATCCGCGCCCCGGGCCGACCTGAAGGGACAGCCGCTCCCTGCCTTGGCGCCTCCTGTACCCCTTTTCTCCCTAGAGCCAGCCCGTGACCACCTGGGCCTCTCCCAGGGGCTGCAACACCAGGAGCACGTCCGAGGCGTGTATGCCTCCACTCCCCTTACCTGCCACCGTCGGGCCTGGGGCCCGGAGCCGCGCGGGGTCCCCGTGCCCGTGCCTCAGTCCTGTACCCCGCTTTTGCCCTAACGAACTCGCACCCCGCGACCCCGCTGCGGCGCCCCGGGGTAGGCGGGCCCTGAACGCCGCGGGGCGCTCGCACGAGAAGCGGTGGCCGGACGCCGCGTCCCGCTGCGCCTCGTGAGCGCCAGACTCCGCTCGTCTGAGCGGGTTCCCGCTCAATTCTTCCAAGGCCAAGTGGGTACCGTTAGATGCATTTCCCGGGTGGAGACACTGGGAAAATGACCCCGGGTCTCCCCGTGTGCGCCTATGGCACAAGATGAGTGAGGTTCGTGATTCCCACCAGCACTGCGGAAAACCGACGCGCCTGTCCTCTCCCGCTCGGGCCTGACGGACACAGGCCATAAACACGTTCACAATAAGGTAGCGTGGGACGGTGAGTGAAGCCCTCTCCAAATGCCGCCACGGAAAGATGCGGGCGCAGCGTGTCCCCGCCGAGGTGCAATGGTCTGGAGTCCGAAAACAGGGTTGAGAAAACTGGAGAAAGACACCGATGGAGTAAAGAGGAACGGTGATCCTAGGTAGGATCCCAGAGGTAGGGAAGGGCCCGATCTTGAAATGCTCTTGACCTGCCATTTAGGTCTTGGCAAGGAGCTTAATTCCAAGTGAAAGGCGGTTAACTCAAAGTGCAAGGGGAAGACAGTAGCAGGTCTTCAACAGGAAGCACTAGGAGCTGTTTTTGTAGAGGAAAATTCAGTGGCTGGAAGGGAGAAGGACACCGAAGGAACAGGCAGGGTTAATAATGCTGCCCACCCTCAGGTGAAAACAGAGCTAGAGGAAATGGCATTTTGGCTGGAGTCACCAAGATGTGGGACTCCCAAATCTTCCAGACAGTAGGTCTATCTCTGGGTGATTGAAAAGTAAGGAGAACACTTATTGCTCTTGGATGCTCTCTCCACCATATCACAAAGACACCTCCCAGAGGTTTTTTCTCCTAATTTTTTGTTTTAATTGAGGTATAATTAACATTCAGAGGTGTCTTCTTAATAGGTTACAGCACTTGAGAGTTCTGGTCTTATTAAATGACCAAGGAACACTGGTTTATGATCAGATGAGGAAAAAACCCTAATCTCCTTGATAGTGCATTAAAAAATCATGTTTTGACCTTTTAACAATATGGCCACACTCCTAAGATGTTTATTTTTCCTAATTTTTTTCTATAGTTTCCTGGGATTTTCTTCCATAATGAGAATGGGGGCACCTGGTTGGCTCAGTTGGTGGAGCATGAGAGTTGATCTTGGGGTTGTTGGTTCTAGCCCCACATTGGGTGTAGAGATTACTCAAAAATAAAATCCCTGGGCGCCTGGGTGGCTCAGTTGGTTAAGCGACTGCCTTCGGCTCAGGTCATGATCCCGGAGTCCTGGGATCGAGTCCCACATCGGGCTCCCTGCTCGGCAGGGAGTCTGCTTCTCCCTCTAACCCTACCCCCTCTTGCGCTCTCTCTCTCGCTCTCTCTCTCTCTCGAATAAATAAATAAAAAAACTTAAAAAAAAAATAAAATCCTTTTTTTTTTTTAAAGATTTTATTTATTTGAGAGAGAGTCAGAGAGAGAGAGCACAAGAGGGAGGAGCGGGACTCCAGGATCATGACCTGAGCCGAAGGCAGTCGCTTAACCAACTGAGCCACCCAGGCGCCCATAAATAAAATCCTTAAAAAACTAAATGTAATTGTATGATCATCATAGAAAGACTAATCATCTTAGGATAAATTTCTAGAAGTAAAATTATTCAACAAAAGGATCTGAGTCTTTTGAAGGCCACTAATAAAGGTTATCGCGCTTCACACCCCTCTCTGTGGTGTGTGAGGGTTCCATATCCTTTGTTTTGCTGGCACTGAAAATTTCCTTTCCACTAATCTTTGCTAATGTCATGCCGAGAAAAACCATATCTCTAATTTGTGCATCTGTTTGATTACTAGCGAGGTAGAATAAATTTTATACATTTATAGCCAACTCCCTGTTTCAGTTTGACTTCTTTCTCTAATGATCTTTTGGACTTTATTAAGGCTGTTAAACCTTGGCCACAGCTGCCCCAAATATTTTTGTTTGCTTACCTTCTACTTGTTTTAATATTTATTTTTTTAAGACTTATTTATTCTAGAGATAGGGCACGAGCAAGAGGGGCAGAAAGAGTGGGAGAGGAAATCTCAAGCCGACTCTGCTGAGCAGAGCCGATGCGGGGCTCAATCTCATGATCCTGAGATCATGACCTGAGCTGAAACCAAGAGTCGCTGGATTAACCAACTGCGCCACCCAGGCACCCCTGTTTTAATATTTAGAAACAAGGACGTTTTGGGGCGCCTGGGTGGCTCAGTTGGTTAAGCGACTGCCTTTGGCTCAGGTCATGATCCTGGAGTCCCAGGATTAAGTACAGCACCGAGCTCCCTGCTCAGCGGGGAGTCTGCTTCTCCCTCTGACCCTCCCCCCTCTTATGCTCTCTCTCCCTCTCAAATAAATAAATAAAATCTTTAAAAAAAAAAAGAAACAAGGACGTTTTTAATTTTGATGAAGTCAAAGCCATGGATACTTTACCTTTTTTATTTTATCTTTTTTTTTAATATGACAGTTATGTAATCTTTTTAAAAAGATTTTATTCATTTTTGGGGGGAGGGGCACAGGAAGAGGGAGAGAGAGAATCCCAAGCAGACCCCACGATGAGCCAGGAGCCCAACATGGGGCTCAATCCCACAATCTGAGATCATGACCTGAGCTGAAATCAAGAATTGGGCGCTTAACCCACCGAGCCTCCCAGGTGCCCGACAATTATATAATCTTTATTGACCTTAACAAGGAACAAACACAAACTGTGTAAAAGTTCATAACGAAAGCACTGACTTACTCTCCATTTTCTCCCCCAAGTACTTTCTTTTCTCTTTAAGCTTAGAAAGCCGTTTCCCACGCAGAGATAATGTATTTATTCATCATCTATCTCTTTCATCAATTCTAAAATAACATTTCTTCGCAGTTTAACCTCTCTAAAATAGGGACGTGTCTTAAAAACCAGTGGCATGTTATAGTTTAAACGGCAGCATTTATTTTCTTAATGGTACCTAAATGTGTCTTAAAATTGATGACATCTTGGGATGCCTGGGTGGCTCTGTCGGTTGGGTGGGGTGTCTGCCTTCAGCTCAAGTCATGATCCTGGGGTCCTGGGATCAAGTCCCACTTCGGGCTCCCTGCTCAGCGGGGAGTCTGCTTCTCGTTCTCCGCCCCCCCCCCCGCCCCGCTCCTCTCCCCTGCTCATGCTCTCTTTCAAATAAATATTTTTTAAAAATTGATGACATCTTAGGTTTTGGTTTTAAAGCATTTTATTTATTTATTTGACCGAGAGAGAGCCCAAGCAGTGAGAGCTGCAGGCAGAGGGAGAAGCAGGCTCCCCGCTGAGCAGGGAGCCCAACTCCAGGCTGGATCCCAGGACCCAGGGATCATGACCTGAGCCCAAGGCAGACAGACGCTCAACCGTCCGAGCCACCCAGGCATTCCCATAGAGCTTGCCTTAAAAAAAAAAAAATTACAAGAATGTTCATCGCAGCATGAAATGGCGCCCCGTCATCTTTAAAACTTCTTTTAAAATAATAAAAATGGTGATTTAGGGGTATAGTTTTGAAAAGCTGTTTACAATATTCGTTGAGTGAAAACCAATTCATGAAACAATAATAGTATGGCTCAGTTTTCTGAAATATGTATAATTACACACATGTGTAGAATGTGTGTGGGTGGGAGCGACCGGGTGGCTCAGTCAGTTAAGCGTCTGCCTTCGGCTCAGGTCATGATCCCGGAGTCCTGGGATCGAGCCCCGCATCAGGCTCCCTGCTCCGTGGGGAGCCTGCTTCTCCCTCTCCCACTCCCCCTGCTTGTGTTCCCTCTCTCGCTGTCTCTGTCTGTCAAATAAAGTCTTAAAAAAAAGAAAAAAAGAATGTGTGTGTAAGGTATAATCCAAAATGCTCACAGGGACTTTAGATGGTGCGAGCATATGGGTGAATTGTCTTGTCTTGTTTTGTTTCTCGGTATTTTCTATCGTTTTAATGCTCAACACTTATCTGTGGATGGAAAACTTCACAGTCCTCTGAGTGTAAGGCAGAATGTCAGGACAGGAGTTTCTCCCCATCCTCGGAGCACCTCAGCACCGGCAGCCTCCCGGACGCGCTCCGGGGCGGGGACCCCGTTCTGGAGCTGGAGACTGAACGCCCCGGCGGCCCAATGTTTAGAGCCCGGGCCTCGGCTCCCGAGCGCATCCCGGCCCCACGCCGCCGGGCGCTGCCCCACAGCCGCGGGATCGGGTTGTGTTCAATGAGATCGCCCCTCCACGCTCCGTGAAGGCT